GAATGCGTGAATGTGGGCCTTTGGCCGATCGTTAGTCTACCTACTTTGCTCTTCCCAGCGCCGACTAAGCCTGCGACACTGAAACAACAGTAAGCGATGATACAACGAGAAGGAGGTGACTGCACCGCACAGAATTACAATGTCGGTCTTCCTCAAAGTGTACCTGTCCGAATCCTTCGTTAATTCGCGCTGTGAATATTCTTTACCCATCGCGTTCTTGATATAGAGACGCGAATGTGTCAAGGAAGTGAGTTCGTGCGGGTCTATATTCGTTCATGCAAGCGCGCTGTTTGAAACGTAGCACACGAGTATGTCGTGAGGTCGTCCACGTGTAGAGCTCGTGTGAAGGCATGCCCTCATCCATCGCCTTCAACGAGGACATGCTGCCAAGCGCTACCGAAGCATGATACATGCGTCATTCAGAATCAGATCAGAGTCTCCCGACTCACTGTCTGGTCACCGCAAGGACGTGTATAGGTGAAGCCAGACTTGTGATTGAGCGAGTCACGAGGCCACCTGGTGTATTGCTAACGCTTGCTGTCGTGTCGTAGCTCCGCCGCGCCCCAATAATCCATTCATATTACCATCTCGTTGTGTAGATATCCTGGACAGCCTTTCGTTACAGCAGAACCTTGTCCTAGAGGCTAGCACGAACGGCAGGAAGTTCTGTAAAAAGTTGAGAAACATATGATTACGAGCTGAAAGGATCACCGACCTATTGAAATACTCAGACTCAATCAACTCCCAGGCATTAAACGGGCACGGAACTAGCAGTAAATGAGCAGTAGTACCTTCAGAAGTGTTGGCTCACTGTCCTTGTCACCGTCGGTGAACGGCGCGAAAAGGGACAAGTTCGGGTCTTTGTACAGTATTTGTGTCTATTGAATTCTGAAGTGAATGACGCTGAAGACGCCGCCCATTTATCTTTTTTCGCCGGGTTGATAACATGACCACCCACCACTCCTGAACTTGCGTTGAGCGCTCACCTGCTTGGCTTCAGAATTCTTATGAAGTCTGACTCAAACTTGATTGGTATCGTAAGGCAACTGGGGCTGCGAAACTCGCTAGAACTGCGGCAAAGCTTTAGCCTCAAGTCTCCCTCTATCGGAACCAGCTGCCTCAGTCCGCTGTAAGCCAAGATCGAGTCACAAAGTATAGGAACTCCAGCTAATCATCCCCGGGTCGTATCAATGCGCTGACTGAAATCAGCGAAAATGTGCTGCGCTTACTTTCTGTAGAGGACTAACAACACTGCCGCGGGTCGCGGCGAAAGACTCCCGGCTGCGTGCGCTCGTCCCTGCGTCTGGGTGTCCCTCGGACAGTATTTAAAAGAATGGTGGACGTCCATGAGACTATACATCGTCTTTTCAAGCAACTTCTGCAAAGACTCATCGCCAACAAACAATTCTACTGGTGCGGAGCGTCCGAGCCTCACTTCGTTGACCAACTTATTCATATTTCAATACTATAGATCACTCCTGTCAATGGTTTCATTGGAGCTAACATGCTCTTGCAGTTGATCAAGGCCGGTTACAAAGTTCGGGGGTGCATATTCCAGTCCATGATCTGCTTATCGATGTCATCTTTCAATGTAGAGCCACCCGCAGCGGTAAAATCAACAGCTTCAGGAACGCTATTGCGGAAACGCTCACGTCGCTCGAAATGGTCCAAGTCGATAACTTCGTCCGGGGAGATTTGACTGACGCGATGAAAGGTATGCCAGCCTAATTGATCCCTACAAACTGCCTGATCAGATTGGGGAACGTCACCGAAGAGGAATTTATCATCGGGGAGCACGATCCCATGTGGAATTATGTCGCGGCTAGGACGTTGGGGGAACGCGCTATTCGGAAATTCGCAGCGAACGAGCCCGCCTTGAATCTCGCGATCAGTATGCGATACCCGACCATTCTGTCATTGTTGACTTCTAATGACCTTCTCCACGGTCGGCCTCCGTTCATCTTTGGCGCGCGTCTCCCCGAGGCCGCCGCCCTGACCTCGGCCGCTAATATATATGTAACTTCCTCACGGAAGTTGTCCCACGTCCACTCCTTCCTTATTCTGCGACGTCCGTGACGTCGCGCTCGCCCACTTCGCAGCGCTGAACGTACTTAAGGCCAGGAGCAATGTTCAACACAAGCGCTTCCTCATCTGTGGCGACTTATCTCTTGCAGGACGCCCTCAAGTACTTGCATCATACCGCCCCGAGCTGAAGGCCCGTCTTCCTTTCGACGCGCAGATAACTCCCTTCCCTGGTCCTCTTACTACCATCGACACCACTCGCGCGAAGAAGAAGCTCGGTATGGAGGAGTACTTCGATTGGAAACAGACGCTTGATGGCCCGCTCATGGGTTGTTGGCAGTGGAGAAATCCTAAGGCGTGAGAAAGCCATGCGAGCTCAGTCTTTGACTGACGCTGATATTTTGAAGCCAGCTGCCAGTGTAGGTCGGGTTACCTTAAGTAACACGATCATCCCAGCGAGCCTACTCCATGTTCTGCATATACGTACGTGCTATAGATAGCATTTCAATGACATTTGAGGTTGTCTGTGATGTTATGAAGACTGTAACATACCCGGGTGTCCAATGTCAAAGTCGACGAAGGGTATTTCGGAGCAAGCTGCGAAGAACAAAAACAGTGATGAGAGTGGGATTCGAACCCACGCCCCGGAGGACCAGATAACAGGATGGGATGTGAATCCCACTCTTCCGGAAGCAGCAACTGCTTTGGTCCTTAGTCTGGCGCCTTAGACCGCTCGGCCATCTCACCGATGTCGATGCCACCTGTCATCACTATCCGATGGGCGCTTCGTCCATTTGTCTTCGCTGCGAAGTCTACCAGGATAGGAACGCCAAGGTGCTGAAGGGCCCGCCTCTCTCGATGCATATCACTGTCAGGAGCGTGAATGGCGTGAAAATGCCACCCTGTACGCACGGGACCTGGGCGTGAGTACTTAAAGTTACACTATGTGGGAGCTTCCACGTGGTTTCCGTAGACGTCTCGTGGTCCGGGCACATGCTTCACCGAACATTCACACTGCCACTGCCAGACAGGGCCATCGTCTTTTGCGTCGATATGGACCACAACATTCAAATCTGCACAGGACCATGATCCCGGCTCATGTGCCCCAGGATATCGTTGATTCCATAATCGACCAGTTTTCTCTCCCGACCGATATCTCGACTCTGCGACAATGCGCACTTGTGTCGCGCTCATGCTTGCGTCCGGCTCGAAAACGCCTTTTCTCAGAGATCTCCCTCTCTCACCGCAGTATGAGGAATGGAGAACAATGCCAGCGGCTCTGCGAGGTGGTCTCTGACCACCCAAATATCCTGAACTACATCAAGAAACTTCGCATCGTTGAAGCTGTCGGATCTGACCACGGGGAGATCGATTATAGCGATTCTATATCTAGGCTACTCGAGATGTTCAATGAGCACAGTAATCTGCAAGAGATGCGCTTCCTAAACACGCGTATTTCGTCAGGTGATATTCACCTTCTACCTCCTCGCCTTGGCCAGGCAATCCTGCGGCTCACGCGGATACCGAGTCTGCATACGTTCATCTTTTTCCCTTGGTGTAACTGCAACATTCCTCTTGATTACATCTCAAAGTCCCCTGGATTGAAACGCCTCGGCCTTGTGGATGGAGACACAACACTCAGACATAGCAAACCTGCCGTTCCCCTCCCTATCTCATCCCCGTCACGTCAGCTCGAGTCTCTTGTAATCGGCGGCCCCGCTTCGCAAGACCTCGTACAATATCTTACTGCACCACGATCTCCTTTATCGATTTCGCACATTCGCTCGTTGAACCTGTATGGATCGCAAAGTGCGATGACTGGAGCTGCTGCACACATCGTACAGCTGGCTAAATCCGACCTGAAATGTTTGGTTTGGGAATATGCGGATCGGAGATTTGGTATGAGTGACCACTGATATTCTGCGCTACATTGTCAGCATCTAACATGCCTTGAAAACATATAGGCATACAACTGGCCACTGATCTACCGTGGCATCACCCCCTCGATCTTCGACTCCTAACCCGCCTTCGTTCCGTCATTCTCGTCGCCAATCATGGCAAAGAGTTTTTAATTACAGCTCGTGACATAATTACGGGTCCGTATGGTCTATCGAGCACTAATCGTCTTGAGCACATCGCCGTGCTCATAGTACATTATAACGCCCAGAAGTTCGGTCAGGATGCTCTCGACGAGATCGAGGATTCCATACGAGATCCGGAGGTCGACATGGATTACGCCCTTGTTGCCATGTGTAACAGTTCGTCCTTCCCCGTACGCATCACCGTCTGGGTGTTCGTAGAAAAGCCTGAGATCACCGTTGACTTCGATCCAGCGGGAGGCGCCGCGGCTTTAACACTCGCAAAGTGTTTCCCACTTACGAGCGCTCGGGGTGTGGCGGTCGAAGGAGGTGTCGCTTGGTGTTCGGAGGTATCGATTGTCCAGCAACGGCTTCATCAAGAAGCATTGCTATCTTGAACGAAATTCTGAATGGGTCCTTGGTGAGTAGCCATTACATGAGAAATGTATAAGGCTGATGACTTCTCCTCAGCGCGATACCATTTTTCCTCCAGCGCAATGGTCCGTTCGAACTACTGTCCCAGTGACGCGTCTACTTTCTGAATCTCGTGTTCCGGAGTCATAATTATCTCATGTGTCGTCTTCATCCATGTCTATCCCATCCATGCCTAATCACATCTCGTGGAGCATACCATGATGTAGATTTGGACTCGAGGTGTTGAATGTTCCCCAAATCTGGTCACCGCAACGTCCACGTTATTCGGAGGCCGCGTCGCGTTCGAAACTACTTATGCTGAAGTTCCGCCTGTGAGGTGGCACGTCAGATGAGGGTTCACATTTGGATAAATGGCTCTCTGGGATAATCGTGGATTCGCGGTACCAGATTTATGGGATAACCTTGGTAGCAATGCTTTTAAAAGGGGGTGACCGTCCTCAAGAAACGTGGTAACGGCACCGTCAGGCATTGGTAGTGTAACGGTTATCATTGGGTCTTCCCATCAGAAATGAAGCTGGCCTAGATCCGGGTTCGACTCCCGGCCAATGCAACACGATCTCCCAGCCAGATTTTTTTCAATCGCTCGGCCTTGGAATCGTCGCCGTCAAGCTTTTGCAGTGTTGACCAATTTGGGACTTCTGTATACTACAGTATAGAGGGGTACAGCAACGACTTCCTCGCCAACCATCATCAGACGCTCGCGGAACCTTTTTTCATCATTCCTCCATCGTTTAGCGCTCGGACTGGTACTGGGTATAGTCAACGAACCTAAAGCCCGTAGGGATGCTAAAAACTGCTTCGGGTTTGATTGCACTCGGCTCGAACCACCTGGATCTATCCCGAGAGCTCTCCACGGGGACACACACGTCTCACTCGATCCTACAAAGATCGATGACCTCCCAGAGTGTAAACAACTTCGTAGGGCTTTGGTCTTGTGACCTCGCACACTGATGTCCGCGCTCCCTCCCTAACCATCGACCATCATGACCACATGGGTCCAGGGTCCGGAGGCCATCGGCAAGCACCCTGACGTCGATGTTGTTGTCAACTTTGCGTCGTCGCATAGTGCGTATGCCAGCGGGACTCCTCGTTCAACGGGATCACGGGTCTCGATGGTTCGGGCAAGTCCAACATTCTCGACGCGATATGTTTCGTTCTGGGTATCATGAACATGGCGCAGGTGCGTTGACTGCGTTACGTGCCTGATATAGGGACCTGAGAGCGCGTTTTCAAGTGCAAAGCCAGCGTCACCATCGGATCCGAAAACTCTGACAAGTCCACGAGCCCGGTGGGATATGAAGCCTATAGGCAGACGCGTCAGGAGCGTGGGCTAAGCCACACCCTTTCGCGATTGAAACTCATTTGCTATAGATCGCACTTCCGAACGCATCCAAATACCTTGTCAATGGCCGACACAAGGCCCTCCAGGCGAACATATAGACACTATTTCAGTCCGTTCAGCTCGACATCAATAATCCCGACTTTGTCATTATGCAGGGCCGCATCACGAAGGTATGTATGGGGCGTGGTTTCCCTAGCTTTGCCTCGTTCTGATGAATAACCATTAGGTATTAAGCATGCGACCACGGAGTGGAAGCTTGCTCCGGGAGCTCCGCATTCGTTTCCAGAACCGACGTAGAACAGACATTCTCTCAGGATCTGTGAACTCCGCTCCCGACCTTATCATGCCATATTCGAACCGTGCGGTATTCCCTCTAATCATTCGCGCATTGTCGACCTATCATACTTTTGACCTATTTGGGTGTAGAATACGAAGCTCGAGCACCGAGCAATATTCTTATTACTCGTAATCGACGGGCAGGCTCGGCTGATCTGGTTCTGCTGCGCCAAGGATGCTGAGCCCCTCGAAGTATTAGAGGTTTGAGTATGCTGCGGAGCCTTAGCTTGGTCGATAGTGAGACCGAGGACATCAGAAACTGCCCTTTCTGAAGAAGCTATAAATTCTCCTATCTTCCCCCAGTCAGGAAGCGATATCACCTCAACGACAATACGACTACGTTTAGGAGACCCGGAGCCGGCTATTGTAGCTAACAGTGATTGCATGCACAGGAGCGAAGATGACGCGTGGCGGTGCTTTTGCTGGTCCTGGCACAGCTTCTGTTCTTGTGACGTCACGAGGCCGTATATATACTGGAAACGTTTATGTGGGGTCGTAATCTCGACGCCCCTTATGACTCTCACCAAGCAAACTTATACCACGCTAATCGTTCTCTCATTTATATCCTTCAGCGATGCTCAAGTCGTGCGGCGCAGAAGTAATACGTCTAGAATCATAGCGGGGATAGTCGTTGGTGAGTCCTGCGCAACCCGAATTTTGTACCAAAGTAATCGTCTTGATAACAGGTGTCTTATGCCTTCTCGCACTCCTTTTGTTCTGCTGTGCGTTCCGTAAGCGACGCGCTCGTCGTGGACTCGGGGCAGGAAACATCTCCCAAGGTCCAACGCCCATGTTTGGCGGACCATGGTTCAAATCGCAGCAGCAACCAGGGATGTACCCTCAAAACCAGCCGTGGGGACAGGGTGCACCTCAGCAACAGCAATTCACGAGCGGCCCTCCTAGCCAGCCGCAGCATCAGTTTAGCAACGAGTACCCCCCACCGAACGCACCTGTTCCACCGCCACCTTATAAACCCGATGGACCTGGGTCGAATAACGCTGTAAGCTATTACTTTTGACGATGATGACTATGACACTTATCATCGTCATCTATAGGCTATGAGACCACCTGCATCTGATGGTGGTGCGTATGCACCGGTAAGTTCAGCATGATCCAGTATGACGCAACCATGGGCTCACTTCCTCGACCAGCCTCCAGGACCGCCACCGCCTGCACACACGAAGGTACTCCTTTCTCCAGTTCTCACACGCGATCAGGCTAACCATCTTGGCAGGAGAACGGTGGTTTCGTTGGCGGATTCAGGGAGAATCATCGTTGATGACCAGTTGATGACATTCCCGACAATATCCGTACCGACTCCATATGTAGCACATACCTTCTTTCGCCGGTTGACATTGTAGCGTTAGTTTTTTTGTACCAGGAAGGATTTCTTAGTTTGTTATAATACACCCAGTATCGTAATTGCTGTATCCTCGCGATTTCGAAAATTTTGAGTGTCGAAGTGCAGGCAGCTTGAAAGATTTCGAATGGGGACCTTGCTCTAGACCGTCCCTGAAAAGTTAAGCTGTGTACGGATATGTACGGAACCGCGGGGCGAGCCAACACACGTCGAAGAAGGGGATCGTTGGAGGCAGGATTACTATCAGGGCATCCAAGATGAGGCCGACAAGGACAAGTCGGGGTTTCGGGAGGTGGAGCCACGTGGCGCTGCCGGGCCGCCAATTTCCGGTTATTTCCCCTTCTTGTCCTTCCGAGTCAGTCTTCCTGCACAGTCTTCCTTATCTCCGTCTTGCTCTCAGCGTTTGACATTCTCTCGTTCTGGACACCACCATTCCTGCAAATTTCATGCCTTGTTATCTGGTTGTTTGATGTCGTAAACCTAATGTGACTCAGGCCGTCTCCGCCGTCCTGGATCCTGGGCCTCAGTCTGATTTGGCATCGACGTCGACAGGCGTATTGTTGATTTTACCTCAGAAGAGCAGGGCAGAAGGCATCTCTGACTTAGACGCGACCTTCTATGACCACCCAACAGTCACTCGCGAGGATAAGGACGTTGGTGGCATCACTCTCATTATCGTCCAGGTTATTACTCGGATCGTGACGCTACTATGGGTATCAGATTTCACATAGGACCACGATTCATCACCAGCTACACGATATCATGTCAAGAACTCTGCTTCTCCCGTCGCTCACGTACTTTGCAGCAGTGTAGCGACGGCAGGTGGCATGTAACGTGTCCGCTCATCGACCTCGCCTTATCCCTGGACCTGGAAATGAGAGCTGTAGTCTCACGGCGCCAAGTTCATACGTTGGATTTGGAGCTTTATCACCGCAGGTATCCAATACACGCAGTATCAAGTCCATCTCAGGCGAATCAGGGAGGTTCTAGATCGACAATCCTTACGTCGGGGACCTCTACCAGCGAACAAGACAGGTGGGTGTTTAACTCACCCATAGTTCCTGACATCAAACCGACCGATTGTTTGCCGCTGGGCTGTAGAATAAGGTGTTCGGTCCTGGACTGGCCCCCTGTTCACGCCTTAAGTCCACAATCAGCGGACGACGTCAATGCCGTTAGGTATCTCGTCATTTCTCGAGCTTGCTCGCCGACCACGTCGCGACCGGCGGCTGGAATCTTGCTCCCGATTGCTCCTCGAATGCCTTCTCCTCATATCGATCTGATGGTCAGGGTTTCCAAACTTTGCTTCGCTTCGATGCTGAAATCGCTATGTCTTACCTTCATACATCTTCTACTTGTCCACGTCTAGACCATGCGAATTACGCCGGCTCAACTTTTATTTCCGCTCGTCATATTGACTGTCGGACACTTTTCATACCCATGAACGTGACAAGTACTCCATTCTCATGCTTCGATGCTGATATCGTTATGTTCTGACTCCTATATGTTATTACTGCGCCCGACGATGGGAAATGCGCCGATGTCGAATTGATAAGCCATCTACTCCCATCTCCACGCCCGCTCCTAATCGCCAAATCCACCCATTCGCGCATTCCTATTACAACCATGTCATCCTCGAGGCTCGAGTTCATCATTTTGCGCTGGGTGTCACAACTTCAGCCTCCGAACCCAGTTCAACGCAAGGAATCTTCACGACCAGTGTGCTCGTTTCTCACACTTTCATGGACGCGATCAGTCCAACTGACGCCGCCTCGCTCGCACGGTATGTTTTCTAGAATTATGAGTGACGTTGCTTCTGTCTCCATGTCCTTCCTCTGGGCTTCGAGCGGGTAACTCGGCCGCCTTGTTCGCACGAGCGCTGGGCGCGAGGTAATGATCCCCTTGCTTGAACTTTATTGGACATGCAGCTTCATGTGTCGAGAATGACGTTCTTGAGACTGTTGGATGGGACTTCGGAATGGATGGTTGCGTCTGCGAACATACGCCGTCTCGTAAAGAAGAAGACAAGTTCTCGTCATCATTGTTAATATCAACTGCTCGCCTGCTTTCCAAGCGCGCTGAGGAACCCAACTGCGTGTTTTCACTATACAGACGCTCTGATTGTGCGGCCTTCGATGTCATAAGCTTAGGAGAACACGGATTGTGTGAGATATGTCTTTTGCCAAGGAATATTAATTGACGTCCTCGAGGACGGCCAGGCGGGTCTGGAGGGTACCGTAACGAGTGTACCGCGGTGACATACCCAATGTTGTGTTGTATGAAAATGGCATGCCGTGATGCTGCATATCCTGGAAGTGTGGACAAAGCTCAAAATAAGAAGCGGATTAGCTCACATATTGATTGTTGGTACAGCATCGGGCAATAGTTGCTCCTCATGATCTCCCAATACTTACAAGTTCCGTGATAACAGATAATCACTTGCGATTTGTGACCATATCTGAGCGCATGGAGATTTCTCACTTTGGGTTTGAGTTATGCTCGGACACAGCTT